CATCTCCTATTAAAAGTGTCACTTTGCTTCCTGGTTTACAAATAACTATCAAGTATCAACATAGATTACTTTGTTCAATAAGATGAACTTATCAGGAGATGGATCAGAAAATCAAAATATAAATATGAGTTTTGGAATAGAAAATTAACCACCAATTAATTTCCAGCCACATTGAAGCTAACGGTATATTTGTTATATTATTTAACAATAGTTTTGATCTCGCTATTTAATTGTATATTTTTACACAAGTTTATGTTTAAATTTCAAGAACTAGTTCAAGCTGTTAAACTCAGGTATTTCTGCATGGTTAGCTTTACCCCAGCAGGGAAGTCATGTATTTTAAAACTATGTACGCAACATAACCCCCGCTTTTCTTGTCCTAACATGCAGCTTTGTCAGAAAAATATTGTCTTGTACATAATCTTAACAGTGTAAATCATGAGATATTATTTTTACTTAATTAACAACTGATTAAAGGATATACCTTACACCTAGCTTGAAAACTATTCTTACATCAAATATACACAATAACACAATAAATAACAACAGATTTTATAATAAAAAAAAGTTAAAATGTTTTACGAATTGATAAAACAGTATAAAATCCAGTACTGTACTGTAAAAGTATATTTTACTGTCCCATATTTTTGTCCATTTCTGTGTTCTCATTACTGTTTTGACCTCTAAATTTTTCTTATTATGATACAACTTAAGTGCCTTTAGAAAAAAGTGCTAAAATCTCCCGATATTTTGGGCATTTCATTTCCCCGAGTCCAAGTTTCAGAGCATAAATTCCAAATGGGGATCGTTGGAAAGTTATGTTATATCAGAAAAACAGCAACACATTTTCATTCACATTAATACAGTGAATAATAACTTAATTTTGAATGCAACCTTTTGCAAAATCAACAACTTAGTAAGAGAACAAAACGTTCATGGTAAAAAAGATAACTATATGAATATTTAGAAATTATCAAGCCGAGTAACAATAACCACTACTACACTACACAAAAACCATTCTTGTCATTGTTCGTATCCTTATAACTCAATTCAGACAAACCTTAATTCTGAGCATGTACATTATGATGTGAACAAATAAACTTATGCAAGTTTAAAATATAAACTTTTTTTACAATAAAAATTACCAAGAACTTTTTGTTGGAAAAGATATTTTGGTGATTTTGAATATTTCCTATCTCCATTACAATAGTGCAGCTACTATAGTAATATTTTATTATGTTTGATACAAAGACAAACCAGATGTGGAACAACAGTACTTACACTAAATATTTAGAATCTACTTACAAGCAAAAAGGATAACTGCTAGCAGCCTCATTTCACCGAGGAAGCTTTATATTTCAGCCGAGACTAAAACTGTTAAGAACGGGTGTCAGGTGGGGTTATATATCTGAACTGATTGTAATTGGCAAGGAAATTGTATATTTGAGGAAATTATAGCTTGGGTCTGACTAGTTCAGCCGGCCTTCAAAATGTGATATGCCAATGTGTTAATTTGATCTTACCTTCATCGAAGTTGAATATTTTAGATAACTCAGTTGAATTTTTTTCACCCAAGGTCAATTCACATGCAGTTGATGAAATTTGCTATCTATAGGCCTACAGATACTCAGTATAGTCACGTAATCTTAAAACTTATTCACTACTGTATTGCTTTTCTGCCCAGGTATTTTGTTTTTCTGGCAAATGTTGTTTTAAAGAGCTCTGGGCATAACTTTGTTTTCAGAAACTGTTAAATATGTAAAAACAAATTTTTGTATGGAAAATAGTTGTTCATGATAAACTTGAACAACTGTTTTCCATACAAAAATTTGTTTGGGGAATACGTAGTATTTTTTAAGAATGCTTAATACTGAGTTTAATATATTACTACCTAAACAATTGAAAATATTAATTAATATTAATTATGGACACCATTCTATTTACTCTTCTCTCTTTGGTATATTTAGTTTGTTTTTTTTTTCTTGGTCCTAAAGAATATACAAACCAATCTCAATTTTATTATGTTTCCTGGAACGTTTGAGAAGTTCATGTATCATACTGAGTATATTTTAGATTACTTTGTCTCAATCCTGAACCTCATTGGTCCGTACTATTGGTTTTATATTTTATTGGGCATTGTAATTTCCTTCATTGCACAAACATGTTGAGTGTGTAATGTAATTTTGTAACAATAAGTAAGGTATGTTAACTAATTGTTCATATTAATCAAAACAAAGTAACTAGTTCCTCTAATCTGTAGCTCATGTTGGACAGCTCAGTTAGCAGCCTATTATTATCATGTCAGCTCTCAAGGTTCCAAGATTGAGTTTTTTCCTTCTCTGAATAATATTGTCAAGTCTTCTCTCAACATTTTACATCCACCAACACATACTTGCAATTTCTAGTTTTTAGAGTGTTTTATTTTCAACAGTCTACTAAGCAAAGCCAAGTAACAGAAGTATTTAATAACCTAAAATATTGTTGCAATAAATAAATAAGCAACACAAATGTATTATACTGGAAATTTCACTTTATTTTGACTCAAGGAATCACTGGGTAAATTATGTCCCACCCTTGTTTGAACAAATGCATTATATTATTCATGTAAAAATGGTGCAACCGTAACAAATAAATAAATAAACAAATAAATAAATAATTACTTATAAAATGTATATTAATTTGCCTATTACAAAAACTTATCACATGTGAATAATAAAAAGTTATGCATTCTGTATTTAGGAGAGTAGATAAACATACTGTATCATAAATATCGACTTTTTAGCATCAGGGTATTTTTAACGAGGGTTTTTTTTATGTTTTAATGCACCATATATTACAAACTACCCTCTAAACAACAAATTACCATATTTTTTACTAGTTTTGACATGACAAATCCAATTGATACTTTTTTAAATAACCACTTTTTGGGTATTTACCCAGGCCTCGGGTGAATACTCATTTATAAATACCCTACCCATTGGGTATTTACCTGGCCCACATCACTAACCCCATGGCATCACTTCAATGGCAGACAGGAAACTGACTTGAATGATACTAAAAATGTTTATACAGGTTGGGTGTATATAGGGTTAAGAGACAGGATTGCAAACTAAATTGTCTATACCACCCAAAAACACAGGTTATTTAAGGTCTATTTTGAGTATTTAATAACAAAAAACTAACACTTAAAAAATTTATAATTAAATTGTACATAAAAACTAAATAAATCTTCTGTGAAATATGTATGTGAGTATACTTTTTCCTACTGTCGCCCGACAAAGTCGGCTTCCTTGCTCGGATTAAAAAGTAGGGGAGGGTGGGCCACAGTGGAACAATATTTTTTTTGTATTTGGCTAGTCTGCCAACTTTTGCACTCTGTGAGTGAACTACAAAACTATTTATCTACCCATAGTGCATTGGTGCTGACATCTCTATGATTAAACTGGTGACATAATAAAGATGTTATTACTGGTTCCTGCTGAGACAGGATAAAAAAACGACTGCGAAGTCAATTTTTAAGTTCAAAGTGAATTTTGAATGTTTACTATAAACTAATTACTAGTAGAACCTTTGAAACAGTTAGTTTTTACATGGACACCATCTGAGGTTAATAAAAAAGATTTTTTGTACAGTATTTCTTTGATGTATTTTTTGTGGCCCTTTATTGGGCCACAGTGGAACACCTACATAAGTTTTGTAAAACAGTTCATAAAAATCGGTTTTCATTTCATTATCAATTTTAAAATATATATAATATATGCGAGAAAGGTAGATCTCTAAGTACATTTATCTTCTAAAGCTGTAAAGCAAAACCGGTAAAAAAACTAAAATTGTTTTGTAATTTTTGTTCTGGCTGAAAGTCCGTGGAGCTGCACTCATCTAAAATAACTAACTATATTCACTAATTTATTCAATAATTATAATTCATTAAAATATGAATACTGAAGCAAGATTTACTGGAATATTGGTTCAATGTTAACCAAGTAAAAGATCTGTAATAGTATATTTATATTACGTCACTACTAGTCCGGAAAATAGATGTTTAGCAGGCGAGTATGGTAAGCACATTTAGGAAGAGGGACGTATGTTATTTTTACCCATACTACACTACAAGTTAAAAAAAAAACTGTACAAATCCCCACCGACTAAATAACTTGTTGACAATAACTCCTGATAACTTCTAAGGAGGGTTTGTTTTTGTTTGAAACCCCTCACTGCCAAATATAATCAGCTGGTGCCTGGTAAAATTTGTTAATGTACAGTATTACCATAGACTAAGCAACACAAGTAGACTCCTCATCCCATTGTAAATTTTGAAGCTAGTTTTTCGTGTCTAGTTCATGTATGTCCAGACTGATCACTGGGGTGGACGAAATTTTGTTTCTATTATTTTAGGGTTATTTTCATGATTTGTGCTTTATTATTTGGCTATATAACTTGGAGAACAGTCATTGTTTATGATTATATCATTTTATTTGGTTAAATGAGGTTTTAAATTACTGAAATAACAAGAAACAAATTGTAAACAAAACACAACCTCTGCAGTTGGACGTACAGAACTAACAATAAAATTGGCTTCAGCTGTTCCATAAGGATGACAAATCTACTAAGGGAGTATGTTTTATCTATGGTATTACGTACTGAAATCTCATTTGGTTAAGAAGACGGTTAAACAGCTGTTTCCCGGACTAAATTCATGCATGATAAGACCGATAGATAAAAAATTTAGTGTGGTGAAAACTATCTGGACATATTAAGATTCTGTATTTATGTTCTTGTGGATGTTTTAAGTATTATTCTCAGAGCAAAGCCCAATCATAAAGTTAGTAAATTGTATAAAACAATAGGCAGGGCCTCTTTAATAAATAGCCTCGAGCCCAGAGGCGCAAAAGTTAGCGAGAACAATTCCCTCGCAAGGAGGGGGGTGGAAGGGGCAAATATCTCTCAGGCCCATAGCGTGTCACATGCAAATTGGGGGCCTGACAATCGGCTACACAAAATAATACTAAATAAAATAATACTAAATACAATAATACTAATACTAAATACAAGGTTTAAAAAGCTGAAAAATAAAATTGCACTTAAATTTATTATTGCAAACAAACCCTTTAAAAATTTACAAAACAGGTAAATAAACAGTGTTTAACATTTAAAAAAACTAATGTCAACTCGTAAAATACTAGTTGAATGTAAAATGCAGTAGAACCTCTCATGGTTCCGCTGGACCTCATAAAATTCTATAATCGTTTTCCAAGAACAGTCATGTTCACTGGAAAAATGATATGTAAAGTATTAAAAAGTTAAAATATAAAATTAAAAAGGAACTTGTCAGGTACTTATGTTGAGAATTCTATGAATGGAAGACAAATTGAAACTAGCCAGACAGTCCCAAGGGGGTTCACTGTGCATTAATGAAAAATTACCACACACAACTAACATGATACCTAATTCATGTCAGAATTGCACCATAACAGAGTGACCCATTGAACAAAACCATACGGTACAAAATCGTTAATATATAATTAACGGCTTATTTATTTTTTACGGTAATAGATTCAGTCTGCTTGCTACAGTCAGACTATTGAGAAACTGCTATAACTTCAAAACAGTAACTAGATTTAAAACATGCCTTATAACTATAAGGTATCACAACTGGTATTAGGTATCACATAAGGTATTACAACTGTTAGGTATCATTAGTAGACTTGAGCAATTTTTTGGTTGCATTATTCATTTCCTCCTCCTATGATGTTGGATTCGGGTTTTCATTTGGTTTTGTGTACACAATCTTGACGTTTATAGAGAAGAATTCACCATCCTTCATCAAGTGGTCTTCTGGTGGTATGACGAAGACTTTTCCAGTCTCAAATGCCTTTTCTTTTCCATGAGAGTTTGACCCCACCTAAAAAATAATATTCATAGGTACATTTTAGAATCTATGAATACCTTATGAACCTATGGTTGTTTTTCGTTGGTTTTTAAATCTATATTTCTGTAAAATTTCTTTGTTCTTTATTATTGGAAGAACAAAAAACTGCTCAGCCCTATAGGGATACAGTTTGCGAGTAATGCAGGATTGCAAGATGAGTTAACAATCTGAATATTTCTTCTTGAGATGTTCCACTTATCAATCAATTGCTTTGATTACTTAGCGAGAGGCTTGTACAGTTGAAATGTTTCTTGTTATTGTTGCCAAAACATTAGTTAAGCCAAAACGTCTGTCTGCAACTGTCACGAGGAAGTTAATTTTTTTCTAGATTTCTTATAGAATAGTATTATGTTCAACACTGTATAAATACTGCTGACATATAGAATTTGACTTACGTCACTCAAGACGTATATAAGTATATATATATTTAAGAAAGACTTCTCGTTGGGGGACAATCCCTCACAAATACAATATAGAAATTATATGCTAATTGCAAATGCCGTACTAAACGTAACAATCACCATGAAAATTTAGATGAGGCGAATACGAGAGAAATGTTATGCTCGTTCTCAACTGAAACAATCGCCACGAATATCTCGTTAAAAACCCCTCGCTAAGCAAAAATACAATCGAAACATCTGTAGAGGTTCACACAATCAAACATTTTGATTGTAACATCGTTGATATTTTTTCAAACAGCACCATCACCTCTACAAGCATTGTTCGTAACAATTTTACCATCAATAAATTGTGCTGTTTTTGGGCCTTTCTTATCTGACTGCTAAGTTATATAATTCAATTGCACAGGTGATTGGTTCATATAAATACTGACCATCGACAGTAGATTTTTAGCTTTTTGAAATGGCTGACTTGTGCTGAGCTATTTCAGTGTAATCATAATAGGATTGCATTTTTGTCGGCCCATAGAGTGCAAATGAGATTTGTGAATTGAGATTTGTGCACATGGTCAAAATTGTAATATTTAGATGTTTGTAAAAAGACGTTAACTTTAAAGTATGTATTTCAGAATTAACTACGCGTTGGTTACAATTCTGTACTACTAACCGCTACTTTGACTAGGCATAGCATGATTACGCACACTAGGGCGCTTGATGTAGTGAAGTATCAGTGAATGCATCGAGGCAGTATAACATTTATTTAGAAAAAAAGTTGGCATTATTGGTAGCTTCTGGGTTTCCGTTGGACACATCCCAGGGTGTCTACCAGGCCAACCAGAAAAAAATCATGAGTAATTCCAGGTAGTTCAGGTCGTACTTTTCATACTAAACTTTCCAACGTGTTTTTGCGCCAACTCCCGCAATGCTGTTTTAGCGCTAACATAGTTCGCTATTTTAGTTATCGGAAAAAGCATTCTCAGTTAAAGAAACAAAATTTATGATTACTGTAATACTGCCTGACACAAGTATACAATTTTTATATATTGCTGATTAAATAATTAGATAATTAAAACTAATCCTTAAACCTGCAATTTATCAATAACTTCTTAAAAATTTATCGAATCTCAGTACTGGCACTTAAAAATAGATTCTTAATACTAGTGATTTTAATTTTACCAAATTTTCTGTAAAGCTGATGGGTTTTCCTAGACGCAGCAGCGCAGTACGGAGAGGAGAATACGGAGAGCGGACTCCTCTTGTCTTAGGTAATTTAATGTTTCTGTTTTCCTAGAAGCGGAGCGGAACGACATGTTAATCGCTTTTCCGCTCTCCGCGTTCCTCTCTCCGCACCTAGGAAAACCCAGCAAAAGGATTACTACACCAACCCCTGTCTTTATGTACTTTCATATAACATGAAATTTTGGAGTTATGGGTTGTTTTTCAAGTGGCCTACAGAAATAATTAAATTTAAGTTTTAAACTCTTCTAAACACATTAAATAAACGTTAAAGGTATAAATGAAAATATTACAAAAAATACATCATCCTCGTATCCCACGATCACGGAAACCTCATCGTCGTCTCCCGCTGTCCAGGAAACGCTATTATCATCATGGGCGATCTCAGCAAAATCATTAAAAAGTCCCGCGGTCGTTTGGAGTTTGGATATCATAATCGTCTTCCGTGGTCACGGAAATGTCATCGTCGTCTCTTGCTGTCACGAAAACGTCATAGTTGTCTCCCGTGGTCACGGAAACATCTTCGTCGTCTCCCACCGTCCCAAAAACGCCATCATCGTCATGCAAGATCGCGACAAAATCGTTAAAAAATCCCACGGCCATTTGGAGTTTGGACATCATCATCGTCTCCCGCGGTCAGGGCTGGATAGAGGGTGGGGCAGGGGGCACCAGAGCTCTGGGGCCTGGGGCTCTGAAAGGCGGCTGGACACTAAATCAGGAAAATATGGAGCCCGGGAACGCTCAGTCCAGGGGCCCGTGACAGTTCTTGCCGAAAATATCAGTGGTGTAGAAGAGCCGCTCTGCTTCATCCAAAGAACTAATATCACTTGTATTTTTCTGCAACAATGTTGCGCTACACAACAGGTAGGCCTATGGTTTAAATAAATGTCTATCCTTTTACTAAAATCCATTGGCTGTCTGGCTATCATGAGGTTTATCACAGAAATGAGCAGGAAACCATCTTGATGAATAAAGATGATTTGTATTGTATTGTATAACCACTAGTGTACATGTTGCTCAAAATCGAGCAATTGCAAAGAAGTAAAGTAGTTTCAGTATTTAAAGACAAATAACTTATTAATAAACGAATAAAAGTCATAATTTCCGATGAGCTTAAAAGACTCAACTCATAGATTACGTACCTAACAGTTCCATATAATCAACATTTCTTGTAAATATTTTATTATTTTTCAAAAGCTGATCTGGTTTTTTAGTGTATTCTACAAATCTTTCCCACTTATAGCCGCATTAGGTTGTCCATGTTGATCTTCGTCAATGATAATGTAGTCTGCATAGTACTACCCGTTGTCGCCAGTACGTTTACAATTTTCAGTCATTTTTTTTAGCGATAACATTTTGTTTACATTACTTAATAACTGCCTGATTTTTTGCATAACCTCTCTGTCACAATTTTATTTGCTTCAATTGGCATTAATTTGGCTAGTTACATAAAGTAAGTTATATTAACCTGAAAAAAAATGCAGAATTGAAAGGCCTAATGTTGTTCAAATGGTTTTTTGTATCCCTTAAATGTGAATAATGGAAATCCTTCAGTGAAAGTTTTATTAAGGTTTCTTGGATGTAGTCATATTATTTTAAAATCGCTTGACTTTTATGAAAACATATATTTAATGTCCTTGCCGTAGGGGAGAGTGGGGCACATTTGAACACGTTTTAAACTTTAATTTTTTAATAGGTGAATTTATGTGTTTTTAATAAAACCATTATTACATTTAGTCGTAACATAATGTTAGCTTTAATTCAGTTACTTTTTAAACCCTTCAAGTTAACATGTTTATTGTGCAATATCTGTTTTCACAAAGGTATGCAAATCGTTCAAAAGTACCCCACTGGTGGGTACAACAAGTGAACAAGAAGTGGGATACAATAAACACACTAATTAAGTAAAATGAAATTTTTTATTTTACAGAAACTGTTATGCATGTGAGTTGATAAAAACGGTTCTTATTTCTATTGGAACTAATTCCTCATTTAATGTTTTAGATTCACATTATTTGTAGCTAAATGTTGCAAAGTTAATAGCAAAATTAAATTCACTCGCTGCACGTGTAGTTCTCACACTCATTGTTGGTTGAGGAAGCTTATAGTCTTAAATTATTATTATTCATTACTGTCTTGTATAGAAAACAAATATAATTAGTTGGGGTACATTTGAACAACATGCTTACCAGATGAAAACATGGTGTTCAAATGTACCCCTCAGACTCTGTTCAAATCTACCCCACTAGGCACCATTTTGCAAAAAGTTAAATTATGTTTTCTTGAATTGTAACTTATCAATGTGAAATGCATAATTGTATCTAAATATGTATAAGCCATAAGGTAAATGGATCAAACTTATCTGTAACGTAGTTTTTCTATGGAAAATTTACAAATCCCTACTGCTAAAAAAGTTTTCTTGTGGCGCTCTAAAACTTCTTTTCCCTACAACAAACTAAGAAGTGATCAGTAATGGAGGATGAATGCAACGTGTTGTCCTATTTGAGGGCTACATTTTACAGCTGGTCCAATGGCCTGCGAGTATAACAATGACGGCAAATTTAAACCGTTCAAATGTGCCCCACTCTCCCCTACCAGTTTAATTCAGCCTTAGAGCGTTTTCCTTTGCCAATCATCATAAAGTTAAGTCCGTGTTTCCTACAAAATAGGTAACACTTCGGCTAATATCCTTGTTCATTGTTTGTGGGGATTTCCATATTGTAGGTGTTCTTCATTATATAGGATGATAACGATAGTAAATGGATTTTTTTTAATCTCTATTTTTTCTACTTGGTAGTGTTCCATGACTTTCCTACGTTTCCATGGTTAAAAATCGGTTTTTTCAATGATTGCTCAAGAAATACAGTAGCCTACCCTGTCAATTCATTTTTCATTTTTCTTTTTTTTTTGTAAAATATCAAATTGCCCAGGCTTTCTCGATTTTTTACATTGTAATATGTACGAATGTAAATTAAAGTAGTAAATATTTAATTTCAACAAAATCAGTAAATGTACCCAATGTGTTTCGTTGAATATAAAAATAAATAACAGCAATTAAATTATACAGCTGATCAAAATGTAAACAATTATGTTCTTTATAAGGATAACATGGGAACTTTCAAAGCCACTGGGGCAGAGCCCAAGGGACTTTTTAAAAAATGTATGGCCAGTTTGCAAATCTACGTGACACGCTTTTTCTAATGAGACGTCAATGGATAAAATCGGTTAAGAAATGGCGGAGGAGTTCAACCGACAAACTTCGTGTTCTCGTATTAATTATATAGATTGTCAAAAGGATCTCAATATGGTTCATCAAGGCTCTTCGATCTGACAAGGACGAGGTCCTAAGAATGAGTACACAACTAGTATAATTACACTGAAAATATTGTCAGGGCTGAAAAGTTTGAGAAATTCTAACTTCCATTTTTAACTTACCTTGCTACTGAAAATCAAATTTTTGGTGTTGTCGAGTTCTTTGGTAAACACCAATTCACATTGGAAAAGAGAGCATTGTTTTAGTGGGGCTGGTACAGAGATCCAACAGTTAATGTATTGATCCTGCAACGTTTCAAGGTTGAGGAAGAACAATCCCAAGTTTGTTACACTAAAAGCTCGATGATATTTTGTCTGGTGTTTTCTGTAGCAGAAGTTCTCAAACTTGTGTGTGAATGTAGCAGTTGTGTTCTTGAACTAAATGAACAAAATAAAATTCTATTAGTACTAGTTCTGAGCTGTTATAATAGTTAGGCCTAATAAGTACCGTAGTAGTAATTCATTTAATGAACACAGAAAAAGCCAGTGGCGTAACAGAAGGGCCCGCAGGGCCTGCAATGCGGGGGGGCCCGGGAGCTGAGGGGGCCGAAAAATTGGAGTTCATTCATATTTAAATGTATTATCAATCATTCAATAATTATGTATTGAACAAGTCATAACATTGATGTTATTAATTAATCAATAATAACGAACTAGGGTAACACATTTAACATGTTATAACGTGGGTCTTTGATTATTATGCAGACTTACTTTTAAGAAATCTTTTATTTCTCGGTGATTTCGTACACTGCTTAAATGTCGTCTGCAAACATTTTGTTACTTTGGAGCCTGGAGTCATGAATGTTGGCTGGGCTTTTAATAGCCTATTGTATTATTTTACATTTTGTTTTGTCCTAATATTGATTGTATTTTGTTATATACAATATAGCCTACTGCTACTCTACTGACTGTGTTTGTTAGCCGATATCTTATTTTACCTCACAATTAACCAATACTAAAGACATTTGTTGTAAGGTAAACGCTTGAAATCCATACAAAGATAAAATTTAAAAAATGCAATAGGCTATATTTTAGCCTGTGATAAAAGTACGTCAATCTATTAAATTAACCAGCTTTTAGTGTATGAGTTAATTATAACCAAAGATTAAACTAACCTAATAAATTAATACTTTAATAGGCTACTGTACTTTGAAATGGCGACCATACCGATGTTGGTATTTTAAGCCAAAAATTAATGGAGATGATTGTAGGATGAATGGTGCAACCTTTTAGTTTTGAAAGGGACTAAGGCCGACATATTCCTTAAGACACAGCTGTTAATTAATAGCCAATACAGCCAAAGGCAACTAAGGGGCCTAAGGGGGTTAGGGGAATTCGAACCACATCTTTGACTTGTAATTAACAAATTAGTCTAATTATCAGAGTAATAAAAATTGATAACATGTGTGATAAATTAAATGTAAAATTGTTAATCGCCTTGATATAAACATTCTGATACACGGATGGAAAATAAGGTTTTTTTATTTGATTTCAAAACTATTTACAAACACTGATATTGATATAGGCCTACCGGTAATGATGTAGTGATGTAACATTTTCATCTAACCATGACTGAAATACTTAACACACCCTTTTATGGAACTTAACCCATAATTTAATATTTTAAATTAATATTTAATATTTTAATTTAATATTTTGTTTATAATTTAGTTACCACTCTTTTTATGATTTATCTGTTTCATCATTGTATCAGTGGTCCAAAAATAACTCTGGGGGGAGGGGGAGGGCGTGTGATTATGTTGTATCGGTGGTCTAAAAATAACTCATGAGACGGTGGCCCAAAAAATAAGTTTGCAGGGGGGCCCGTGAATATTTGTTACGCCACTGGAAAAAGCTTTCTAGTTTTGAAATCTAAAAACTTGGATTGGGACAGTGACGTCATCCTGTAATCCAGCTACTTCACGAATTGTGAATATTTATAGGCATGCACTGTGGATGCGATACTCCCTGGTGTGGATTAACGTCCGCACTAGTGAGTACTACGACTGCCCGCAGTGCTACCCTGATAATTAGACCAATTTGTTAATTACAAGGAAAAAATGTGGTTCAAATTCCACTATAAACTGTAGGTTCCTTAGTTGCCATTGGCTGTATGGGCAATAAATTAACAGCTGTGTCTAAGGAACATGTCGGCCTTAGTCACTGACAAGACTACAAGATCGCGCCACTCGTCCTAAACTCATCCTTCACTCATATTTGGGTTAAAATATGTACCTCGTGGAGTCCCCATCTTAAATAATTGATATAGAATCCAAACTTTAGTCCAAAATACTATGGTCTAAGCCTATCTTAAGTTAATACATAGATAAATCGCCAAAAGTACCACACATTATGTGAGCAATATCCTATACTAGAATAATAGGCCAATACATGGTTGTTCGGTCTTCACCTTTGGTGTGATTTTTCTATTGTGTCACATATTTTGAGACGCTGTAAATTTAAAATAAGAAATCTCTCGACCTTCACACTGCCAAGGCTGGACACGGACTGACCTGCTGTACCAAAGCCACACTAAAAAAACAGGCCGTAATGCTGGTCAAGCATGACGTCACGATAGAAGACGGCAATGACGTAGGTATTTATATATTTATTTTCCAAGGAAAGATTAAAACAAGCAGCTGATCACAAACGGCAAACATTACGTCATTGCCGTCTTCTATCGTGACGACATGCTTGACGAGTATTACGACCTGCTATTTTAGTGTGGCCTTGTGGCTGTACACTTATAACTGTTGTATAATTGCACCACACTACCCCTGCTACTGCCTATACAGTTAACACATGGAGGTTACTTTCCAAATTGCGATCGATAAGCAGAACATCTCGATAAGGAACATTTTGATTGTTTACACATGTCGCAATTGCGCATCACTAATACAGAGCTGTACAGGTGCACAAAACCTTATAGCACAAAACCTTATAGCACAAAACCTTAGGAGTTTTAAGGTTTATGATGGCCATCTGTTTTGAGATAAAAAGTCCACTGTACTACCCACAATTATTATTTTTGCTTTGGCAGGAACAAACAACTTTACAAAAAAATAATTATAAACCTGTATGATACAATATATATGCAATATAATAATTAAATGCCATTGATCATGTAACTTAAATGGTAACGATTCCTTTCAAGCTCCCAGGGCAGTATGAATTACTGCAACGTTTTCTTACCGTGTCAAATAGGTGTGGATGTACTTTCTTAATGTGTGCAAACAAAAGTGTGACAGCCATTTCACTTCTGTTACAACATGATTCTAACAAACACTTGTACATTCCTGTGGGGTTTGGCAGTCGTTTGAGTTGATTCACTTGTTCACAGATTGCTTTTTTATTTAAGTAGACGTTAATTTGTTCATTCAAATTATTTATCACATCTCCATCTCCACTACCCTAAAAAAAAACAGAATTAATAATAGTAAACATTGAGAAAATGTGTTTAATGTTAATATTAACACTGAGAGATGTTTTATTTATAACTAGGTAGGGTATTTATGATCTGTTATAAGATCAGTATATAGGCCCTACCAACCTACTACATCTGCGAGCAGGATGGTTTGTTTCAGAGGCTGTTTGATTTTCAAACAAAGCACATAGGGCCTATACATTTCTTATAGATTTTTACAGAATAAGATTTGGCCTATAGGCTACACGAAATAAGACTTTACCGTCGCATAACTTAGTTAACCCTGATTTCTAATTGTATGGTAGTTTAAGGCCAGGCATTTGTTTTGGCTACAGAAGAAAAGTGTGTAAAAATTATTTGGTTTTGTGTCCAGTTGATCAATTATTTTCCCTAAATGATTTAGAGTAGGCCTATTAAGTGCATGTCACAGCATGCCAGTCAAAATCATATTGGATCGCTCCCTCGTAAAAATGTCAATTCTCTCCTCACTGGGTACCAACATATTGCCTCTTGATAGGGCCTGCAGACTTTTCTCAGGAGCCTTCTGTATACTAGAAGCGAGCACTACAGTTACTGAGCTACCCAGCTTAGCAAATAGCAATAGGGAGTCTAACTACCATATCAAATACCCAACCCTGGTCAGCTTGGATTGGAGGGTATTTTGTAAACTTAGGCATGAGGAGGGTTTAGTGAGGGTAACTTAAGTCAATGCTTTTGAACCGTCAATGTTTTTCTATCGATGTTCGATGTTTTTTACATAGATGGTAGGTTACCAATGTTTTTGTGTTACATCGATGTTTTTGTCAAACATTGATGTTTTTGGACAAGTAACTTATAGAGATATCGATGTTTTCCATTAGGCCTAATGTAGAGTACAAATGGCAGATGATATACACAAAATTAATCATAAAACAATGATGTTTTAGTCCCAAAAACATTGATTTTTTCGCAACGATGTTTTCGGTACATCGATGGTGAACATTGACCTATCGATGCTCATCCCTAGTATTTTGGCTCTTAAAATCTGAGAAAGACCTGAAAATCGTTGGGCTAAGAGCTTTTACAGTGTAAGTAACTTAAACTGCAAAATTAAAGTACTGTAGCCTAATTCTTACTTTTAATAGGATTGAGAACTTGTTTGACAGTGATTCTGCTAGATAATTTCGACAGCTAGTTATCGATGCCTTGCATGTTGGACATGTTTGAAGTCTCAATCTACACCTTTCACACATGTGATGCCCAACTTTACACATAAAAATAGTTGATGGTGGAATTTCAAAGCAAACTGGGCATTGTAAGACGCTTTCTATATCCAGATCAACTAAAATGTGATTCAAAGAACTCATCTTGCAGGATCTTTATCTTTGTCTCAAGTAGAAACAACGTCTTCCTATCCTTACCCGGCAGAAACAAAATCCAATAATAAATAGCTAATAAAAAAATAAAACAAGTAAACGGGAACCCTAGCAAACGATAGGTTAATTCCTGAAAATTTGGCACTGTTTGTTTATGTTTGGGTCGGCGTACCGTAGTTTAGTTAGTTACTTGGATCAGCTGAGCCCTTAAGGAAGAGAAGAAGCACCAACAAGACAATTATAATCAGTGTTGCCACCTTGGACCCATGGAAATTCACCCTCTGGATAGGAAAAATCCACGTATGATCTTTGTCAATGCATTTTTGGTACAATCCTGTTGATGTAATTTTTCATGTTAGAAATCTTTTTATTGTCTATCAAGATAAATCTGAATCTAACATATTTAAATTTATAAATATTTATCTTGTAACTTGCCACTCATGTATATCGATTGTAAAAATTGTGTTTACCGTATGAATAAAAAATAAATAAATAAAACCATACCGCCATTACTAAGGAGGTACTGGTAACATTTTTAAGATTTCCTTCTTAATCGATTCTTCCTAAATTCAACGGGGATTCTATTGATCACGGACTTTCTACTCCTCATTCATAATAGTTTTATAAGTTTGATATTATAATTTAATAGCCTAATGTTTTTTTTTTTTTTTTTTTTTTTTAATAATAATTAATTTAATTTTTTTAATAGGCCGTTAATAGCCTACTTTAAAAAGGGAGTCTTAATCAATTATCAAGTTCCATGCCTAAACTTCATCGTTATGGGAACTGGGAGCACTGAATCTCAGCATTAGGATTTCTCCAGGGCAGTTAAGCTGCACTACAATAAAAAGGAGTTTCCTATTTTGAAAAGGTTGCCTGTTTTAGGTTTGTTTTTGCACATCAAAGTGTGGGGGTGGGGTACGTGAACCATGGCTTATTCCTTTAACTCCAGGCCGCGGCCTGGTAGACATTGGCAACGGCGCTGCTCAGCGCCAAGTCATAAGTCCCATAAGCTAGCACGGTTAACAGGTAAAGCCAACTCATTTAATTTAATCCCAGTGACCCAAGCTTTCGTATTCTTAAAAAATACACCAATGAATATTTTTAGAATAAGTTTTATCTCTAGAAGCTTAGAGAAGATTCGAAACCAGTTTATGGGCTTACGCCAGTGCTCGATTTGTGGGGGAACGTGGCAGAACGGTTATCAAGGGAGTTACGCTACCTCTATTTAAAGATAAAAATATTGGCATAAATAGGGGGTAGTGGAATTTCATCCCCTGAGCAAAACTGATGTCACATACAATGGGGTAAAATTCCGGTCGTGAACTTTTCAGTTGCACAACATGAGTTCAATAAATTAAAGGTGCAATTAAACGTATATCTTCATGGTTGTGAATTTAATCAGAACACATAAAAATTATAAAACCTATAGAGTGTACGGACCGGAATTTTACCCCCTTCATGATGTCAGCTAAAAATGTACGGCCCGGATTTTTACCCCAGGAATTTTATAACCCCGGTCATATATAGAAATCAGTGAGAATAATAAAATGTCTTCGAAATGAACGTTTTTCCACGGTAGTTTGATAAATATTATAAGAAATGTTCAACCAATTATCATTCAAATGGACTACTCAGTTTGTTTACACACATATTAACTAACAGTTGGTCCTAAAAGTCTAATCCTGAAAATCAAATATCAAGATTAACCTGTTTACTTAGTTGAGATTACAAATAAATTAAGATAGGCTACTAAATAATAAAATGTTAACTACCATTAAAGTAAAAAATAAAAGACCAAGCACTTATCTTAAGTAGGTATTGTCCTCTATAGTGTTGTGTGTTATACCGGTAGTTTAGTCCACTTTTTTTAAATTTGGTAAATATTTCACAAAACAAATTACCTATCTATTTTGTGATATGTGTAGGTGTATAGTGTATTTATTATACTATAAACTTGTGAAAGTTATGCGGTTGGCGGTTGTCGGTAGAGTATTATTTTAGTGTTGACCAGACAATGTTGGCAATACTTCTCTTCTTCTCTACTACCCTCAACCCGATTGGTTGCTAGTTTCTATTGGAAATCTGGAGTGAGACAAAGTAATTAGAGTGAGACAATGTTAACATTGTCTCACTGATGAGCGAATTGGCCACTTTGCTTTCTCAAATCAGTGAGAGAACATGTACATTGGAAAAAGCACTTATTTTTTGTTCCGTTTTTTAAAAATTGGTTTTTCTCATTTGACCCTCAAAACGCAATATTTCCCAATTTCTTTCTAGACCTTTTTAAAGAGATTAAAAAAACAAATAATTTAGTATATCAAAGTGTTTTTGTACGGTTTTTGGTAAGGAGAAAATTAAATTTAAAATTCCCTAGATTATTCTTATGGAGAATATTGTAAAATGTTATAATTTGCTTGTTTATGGATATATTTTGATCAAACTTAGCAATTTTATTTACTTTATACTAAGCTATTAATATTTTACTAAAAAACACATTTTATAAATCCCTAGCAGCAAACCTAGGTACTTGTTAAACCTAATGTAATTTAAATAGATTTAATTGAAAATCATTTCAGACAAATGGAAATTCGCTTAGTCAGCAGGTTTGCTGCGGCGGGGGTATTTTTTATTTTATTGACATTTGAAGTTTCATAAAATATCCATGGTAACGCAATATCTTTGGTGATTTTTTATTAATAGAGTATCTTTGATGGAAAAACACGAAATTTTGTCACGACCATCACAGACATTATACTGAATATTAAAAATAGTTAATATTATTTTTATAACTATGTTTTGCTATAAATTAACTTACTTTTATGGCCATTATACAATAAACAGCTCACTAAGCTTTTGGTATATTTGGTCTTTCTAGAAAAAAATAAAAAAAAACCAAAAAAAGTTGAAAAAAAGCCAATATAATCTTTTAAGTTTGTATAACTCCGAAAAAACTTACCTGAGACCCGAAAAATCATTATGTTTTTATAGAGGTGTGCTTCTTTTGTGTATAAAATATTGAAATATGATATTTTAATTTTTGATATTTGGAATAATCTAAATCTTTCTAAAAAATCCTTCAATTATACTGTTAGTTATAATAAAAATATGTGTTTCAATTGAACTAAACTGTTCAATTTACAATGATATTTAAGTTATTGTCACGACCAAACACAGTATAATCCATAAGGCTGGATTGGTGGTGAAAAAACCCGTGATGGTCGTGAAACTTTGGTCGTGACATTACGTGTTATTTGGTTCTGTTCTGGCGGTAGCCCTGCACCTCATGTTCGAGGATACAAAGTGGACTTCTAGGTTAATGTATCAATTGAAATATCATATCAACAAAAATTAACACCACGTCTACTTCATCAATGACTACGTACGGTCATGGATACACTAAAATTACAAAAAACACAAACTTACCTTTATTAATCTTGAAACTACTTCTTTCAACACAAAACAACCGGCACAACAAACTTGACGTACACCCCCAACTAGTCTCTAAAACGAACTGACGCAATCGACGCCAGGCTTGCCACTGTCGTGCTCCAAAGTTGAAAATTTTTCCCAGATGGTCGTGACGCCAAATCGAGGGACAGACTTATTTTGTCATGGTAGTCAGTTTGCAATGACAATAAAATTATAATATGCTCCTTTTTTGTAAGTTTAATAACTATTGATGACATAAAAATATGGCTTTATATATTTCGGCATGAATGATTAGTCTAAAAACAGCGTGAAAGTTGGAAAATGTACCCTAGAGACACGTCATGGTCGTGAATTTTGAGACTTTACCATATAAATGTGTGTAACATGTTGCCCCGTCCCAAAAAATATTAAAACAAATAATAATAAACTACAAATCCAGTATCTACGAAGTAAAAGGCCAGGGACATGAAAACGTACGTTTTTAAATTTTCACTCTATTATTCTTATTTCCAAATAACAATAGCCACAAATAAAAACCAGTGTATTTGTCCATTGGGCACACCTCCGTCATCTACTTGGACTCTTTTTGGCAGACCTTCCCACATTTCGGACATTCTTAGGCACTTATTCACTTATATTTTAAATTTATCTAGAGATATTCCCTACTACCATATAAGTTTTGTAGGGGGGGGGGGGGCGACGGAATGATGTTCACTTACACTTCTAGGATGTTTTGCATTAGACAAAGTAGATTTTTTAAACTGTGGAGCATCAGACAATAATCAATCACTAATAGCTAGAATACTGTAATAGTTATCACAATGTTTAATGATTTTAATTCTTTAGGGTCTAATTAAACATTGGCAATATCATTATGATATCGCACAAAGCTCTTATAATGGGCAGGTAGCCCCTAGTACTTGGTTGTGTAGTGACCCTTAAACTCAGAGAGGTCATCATGGCTTTTCAGTTAGGAATTTTGGTGTTTTGAGATGTACTAAATTTATTTTTTCTTGTATTGGCTTGGCTAATGCAAGTTTTTGTTAGTTTGGCCCATAGCTTATTGAATACATTTTTCAGACGAATGAATCTCTCTTAATTTGAGAAGTTCAATCTCCTTCTTGAGGTCATTTTGATTGGTGAAACAAACTTAAATGAAGTTTATGATGAGAACTTTAGTGACACTTTTTTAGCCTTTAGTGTCACGGCTAGTGGCAAATAATAAACCAAGTTGATCATGAACAAAATTAACACACGAAACAAGTCAATTTCAACAACGACAACCGACGAAACAAGTCAAAGTGATGACTATTCATTGTAATAATACAAGTTGACTTTCTGCTGATGAAATAATAATAATTCTAAGAATAAGAATACACACCAGTATAATTCTTAAATAGTTAACTCTTCAATCTTCTTGTACTTGAACGTATTAATAATGTAAACATTAGCTCAACGTCAATGGATGTTTGAAATTCAGTAAAATAAATGCACTATGGGATATCAGGAGTACCAGCAGTTATGAACTATGCAGGCATTGACTCACTTTACCCTCTTAAGGTAAAAGTAATGGAAGAATTACCTTCTTCTGACACAGATATTCCCTGCAACTATGCTGGATAATGAGTGATTTCAGTAAAGTAAATAAATTCAATACGCTGTTGTGGGACAAAGTAAAACAGCTTGTTGGTGGAACAAAGGACTGAATTGAAATAGTCTGGAACGTAGAATTGGAACAATTCCTAGTCCAATGGTTGTGTTCATATTAAAAATTACTAAATACATTTAAAAAAATTGAAATCAAATTTGTGTTGGAAAAATTGCAAGTCCAATGGTCCTATCCATATTAAAAATTACTAAAGTAGTGAAGTGGGGTATCCCATGTGTGCTCTTCAGTGCCAGACACAAAACTGAGTTGAATATGAATGATAGCGCCAGGGTTTGACCTCTGATATTGGGCTGTTTAAACAGGTTGGGTGGATGTGGGATTGAAGGACATGATTGCAACTAAATTCTATACACGTAATATTTGAAAATTAAGTTGTATTTATAAAATTACTCTTTATATGGCCTATGATGGATAGTTAATTGTACAGATGTCTTTTAATCTAAAACATACATACAAGCATGTTTACTACTAAAGACACTGTAACATGTTTAGCAACAAGTATATAGCCTATGATGGATAGTTAATTGTACGAATGTCTTTTACTCTAAAACATACATATACAAGCATGTTTACCACTAAAGACACTGTAACATACGAGCTACGAGTGACTTGGTAGTGTGTGAATGTGTTACTATCAACATTATCGAAATACACAACCCATACTTTTTTTCAAACAAAACCTAAAAAGGTGAAATGATGAGAACAATTAAATAAAAAAAACCTAACAATACACACATACATTGGGCCTTCCATTGTTTAGAAAAGTTTATGTTTGGCCCTTTAGATGTGTCTAAAATATCAAGTATAATAAGCAGATAAGATCATACTTAACATGAACTAAATTAAGGCTCATCTCCTTAGCACTTATTAATCCAGCAAAATACATACACACAAAATAAAGATTAATTTTACAGATGTTTTTTAAGTCCGTAACATACAAGCATGTTTACTACTAAAGACACTGTAACATGTTTAGCTACGAGTGACTTGGTAGTGTGTGAATGTGTTACTATCAACATTATCTAAATACGCAACCCATACTTCTTTACAAAATCTAAAAAGGTGAAATGTTGAGAACAATTAAATAAAAAAACCTAACAATACACACATACATTGGGCCTTCCATTGTTTAGAAAAGTTTATGTTTGGCCCTTTAGATGTGTCTAAAACATCAATTATGATAAGCAGATAAGATCATACTTAACATGAACTAAATCAAGGCTCATCTCTTTAGCACTTATTAATCCAGCAAAATACATACACACAAAATAAAGATTAATTTTACAGATGTTTTTTAGTCCATAACATACAAGCATGTTTACTACTAAAGACACTGTTAGCAATGAGTGACTTGGTAGTGTGTGAATTTAAATAGATGTGTCAAAAACATCAAGTATGATAAACAGATGAGATCATACTTATATTTGAACTAAATTATGGCTCATCTCTTTAGCAGTTATTAATCTATCAAAATACATTCAAACAAAATAACACAATATATTTAGTCTTTTGTGAGGTCAATCTCAATCACCTCTTCTTCTTCTTCTTCTTCTTCTCCTTCTCCATTATCTGGAATGACTTCTGGAACAGGCTCCTTAGTAGGAAGATTGAGTGGGTTGAAATCTGGATGGGAGAGCAACTTTTGCAATTTTTGTTCATCAGTCTTTGGCTGAAAAATACACAATCACAATGTACTTGGCAGAATACAACTAATGGTAAAACATACAAGTTACAATTAGTGTTAAGTAAAAGTGGATACTAACATTTTAATGACTCCAATATAAAATATAAGTAAAATCAAATTGAAATATTGGGTTTTTTATTTTATTTTGTACAAGTTACGTTATAAATAATGTTATAAGTCATTTAAATATTGGTGACAATCGAATCACAATACACCAATCACAAATCAGACGGAGCCGTGAGAGATAGTTCAAATCTGAGACCAATGTTTTGTTCTTTTCTATTTTAGCCAGTTTCTACCCTTATGTGACTATTAGTCTCATCATAATGTAAGAAATCATAACATAAGTTTCAGTGGGAAGGATGTTAATCCCTGTTGCAATCCATGGCCAGCTGATAGATTCCATAAAAGTATGTAGACATATAAAATGTGCATAGTGGTTTAGGTTTAGAGTGTTCACAGAATTCTGAACATGTTTGCACAAGGAGGCTGGCAGCGAATGTTATCAGTTTAAACTGGGACAGTGATCTTTTATTTCAATTTGTAAGCTGAGAAGCGTGTTAAGTCTACCAGGGTTTACTTATAGTCCTCGACAGCCTATAGTAGTTTACTATCAAATTGACAATCCTACTGCAATCTGCAGGCAAGAACTAACTAAGCCGGCCAGCCTAATCCATGCACTATGTTGTGCAAATATTTAAAACTGCCTAAGAACTCCATCCACTCCTTACAGGCATTTCCTAAGCCCATACAATTTCCTCAACTGGAGATGAATATGAAATGAAAAATGAAATTAAATGAGAATCCTTCTTTATTGAGGCAAACTTTATACAGTTAGCCTCTAACTCCTGACATCAGTAACGGTTGATGACTGAGACCACAGAAATTTAATTACAGAACAAGATTTATCAGGTTGCCCAGCGCCCTATCAAAATAATTCAAGGACAATTCCAGGTTTTCAAAATTCAAAAAACAAATTTTCTAGGACAAAATTTGCTGCTCAAAATAACTAAAACGTCTAGGCTACTTGTTCATACCTGCTAGAACCATTAAAATTCATGTTTCTGGCCCCTGGATTATATTGTTAAGACCATAATAGGTTTTGCATACCTCCGTCAAATAGTCCAACTATTAATATTGCTCATCAGCTTACATGTTTCGTTGTGAAGACAACATTTTCAAAGCTTTCAACTCGCCAAAACCACAATTAAAAACACGGATGACACGAACACAAAAAACATTAAAATCGTATGAATACACAAACATTTAGATGGCGCTATCATAGTAAATAATATTGGTTAATTTCGTCCGGCGCAGGCAGGGTTGGAAGCAGACTCAAAGTTAATTGTGTTTTTGATGTTGAATTCTACCACATGGGTGGTCAAATGTTTTGATTATGATAAATTTGTAATGATTATCTGCAATCGTGGCAACGTTTGTGATGATTTCTTGTAATGTTGGACATCCGTGATGGTATCTTAAAATCGCCACAAAATTTTGGGATGATTTCCCGTGCATGCTACAATTTTTTGGTCACTTGCCATTGGGGCAAAATCCATGATAGTTTCTCACGGTCATGGCAGCACACATTATGATGTATTTCGATCCCAGCAACATGATTGTATCTATCCGGCGATCATGCAAAACCTTTGATTATTTCTTACAATCAGGGTAATAACTATGATGATATACTCTGATAGCGATAGCACCTGTGATTATCCCACACGATCGTTATGTCTGCGATCATCTCCAGCAGTAATACCCAACACCCTTGACTGACACCGGTGACTATTATTGCGATTGCTGTCACACCTGTAATCATCTTGTAATTGCCCTGAAATTCATAATGATTTCTCGTGTTTACTGCAACGCCCGTGATCATTTCTACTTTTCTAGCAATAGTCCAGGAGCTGAGGGGGTTTGAGCATGCATGAAAGTGGTACGCAATGTTATTGCTGATTATTGTAATATGGACTGTGGATTATTTTAATATTCAAAAGTGGTCGATAAGGTGGAGGGGAGGGGGCAAACATGGCGGGGGGCACTGTGCGTTAAAACGCTGATATTTCGAAAACGGTAAAAGACAGAAAATCGGTTAAAACGTCGTTGTAATCCTAAGAATATGGACTACAATAATGGTTATCAGGTCCGAGGACGTATCTCTAAAATTAAAACAAGTTATTGTATAAAATATGTAAAAATGGACTATTCGTGTATAGTTTTTTTCCAAAAGTAGAATTAATTTGTGAGTGTCGCAAAGAAGTAAATATAAAATATCTTCGCTGATAGTTGTAATACGGACTGTAGTTATAAAAAATACACATATCGCCTACTTTTCAGGTGGTCGAGAACTTGGGGGGAGGGGTACAGAGATGGCGGAACGTGCTATTCATTGAAACGACTCTCTCGAGAACGGTACGAGATGGGACATCGGTCAAAACGTCGTTTTAATCAAAAAATATGACCAATAGAAAAGGTTATTAGGTACAAAGTTGTATCTTAAATAATTAAAAAATTATAACAAAAATATATTTCGCAAATTCTACATTATACAGCTATGTCTTTCCAGAATGTGGACACCCTGTTCAAGTACAATTACCAGTTTTCCCGATTGGCTGGACACACTGTTTGTACTTGGGGGAGCGTCAATTTTCCTTCAAAATGTTTTTTTTTTTTTTACTGGAACAAGACTCGTACCATACAGGCTAGAACAGTAGTGGATGAAGTAACCATGGCATTGGTCGATGATTTGTATTAGTTCCCTTGGCTGTGACAGGAGCTTGATGAAAACTCAATTTACAAAATATCATTGTGAAAGACGACCTCCACAGTTACTCTATATATTCACAGTTATACTGTTGGCTATTGAAATATAATTTAAATGCGAGGGATGGTTATAAAAATAAGGGGACTGGTTTTCTAAGAGACAAACGTTGGAACAAGACCTTACCGACAGACCACCACCGCCGCACCGTGCAGAACGCATCATACCGTACTGTTTGTGGGAAATTGTTATCTCTATCACTGTCGCTGTCAAAACGTATCGTTTGTAGGTTAAATTTAAATTAATTTAAATGTCATAACCTAACCAAACTTGCTCATAATGAAAATATCGAATGAAGGTTTACTAATACCGTAACCAAAATAGTTCTGTTCATAAAATACAATTATAAATGTCTCAAAATCAATTATATCATTTTTTAATTATAAAATTAAACTATCATAACCTAACCAAACCAACCAAACTTGCTGTTAATGAAAAATATCGAGTCAAAAAGTTAATGCCTCCGGTGGGTTTCGAACCGGCTACCTCCGAATTATCAGCCAGGTGCGCTATCCACTACGCCATCGAGACATATAACTATTCAACGTATCGTTGCGGTAATGGTGTTCTCTCGAGCAGTGGTGGGCAGTGGCGGTCTGTCGGCAAGGGTTTCTAACGTTGGAAGGCTAATTGTCATAATAGGGAGTCACCCGAAAGCCCTTCTTCACATTCCGGCCGGTTCGAACAATACTTGGTTGCTAAGATCGGCTACAGCTTAAGTTCATGTCACACAATTCAATTGAATTAAAGTCAATCTTTTATGGCATGAATCAGTTTTAAGTAATAATTAATCAATTTATTGATTGAGCAACATCTCAATGTAAAACTAACAAGAGAATTATTCACCCTTAGTCTTTTCCTTTTTTTTGGGGGGTCTCATTTTTTAAACTAAGGTAAACGCACCAGTAGCTGACAGTATAAGAAACTATACGCACTTAATAATCCATGGTTTTGAATAAATAGAAACTAAATAGATATTACGGATTTTATGTGATTCTAAATTTAGTGAAGTTTTCAAATTTGTCATAACCTTTGTACGTGTCCCAGTGGCTGACACTGGAACTATAAATGTACTAGCTGCTAAACCTAAGGGTTTTATAATTTATAAGACGAATAAAATCTAACTTAATAATTAAATTATAAAATCATGTAAAACGTTATTAAGAAAATTTATTTTACATATTTTACAATAAAAAATATTTACATTAAAAAAATATATTTTATATACAGGTATATTTAAAAAAAATATACATTTTTTAAAGATAATTTGGCTTATTAATTAAAAAATTAAAATGTGTGAAAGCAAACACATAAAATTAAACATTAACTATTCATTAGGTTAATGCAGAATGGGTTTAGACTGCTAAAAACATGTTCTTTTATGTACTCTCATCTTGCAAGTAGCAAATATCCCCTGTCAGCTAGTGGAACTTGTACGGCTTTTGTGCACCAAAGCCTGACATTGATATAATTTTAAATCCAAAACCCCTAACACCCCAATTTTATCATGAAATTGTCAACAAAGGTATAATTGATAAAAATAATGAGCCTAATCATTAATACTATTTAAGAAATTTAGCGAAATGACAAAAAACCAAACTTACCTTCTTAACAATTTTATCAAGGGAATCGACTAAATGTGATGTGTACAGACAGGGTCGCTTTCAAACCACCACCATTCAGCGAGTATGGGCTAAATTTCACTGATTTGTTTGTAAACAAATCAAGAATAAACATATGTTCTTCTAACAATGCAATCATGTGTACATATTTTTAAGAGACCACATTATAATGTAAAGAAACTCAAACTGTCAGCTTCTGGAGCACTGTCAGCTACTGGTGCATTTACCTTAAATGATTTATACAGTTCCAGTCTACTCTACCTTTTTGTTTGTTGTTTTATCTTTGTGTTCTTTGTATCGTTTTGGGTTTTATTTAAGTATGGGTACTGTAAGCAAGTTCTGAGTTTTAATCCTGAGCTACGTCACCCAAAGTAACAGAGGTGCCGACCGTTACAGGTGATGGAAGTGCCAGGAGTCTTGTAACTTTTTACAGAACTACAAATCTTACAAATCTTGGTACCTCTTCACAAAAAAAATTGCTTTAATTTTTGGGGTCCTAGTAGAGTTGACAAATTTGGTTTTTTAATACATATATATATATATTTTTTTTGTATTATTTGTAATCACCACTTTAGTGCAGTTTTTCATCAGTTTTACATGAGGGTACAACAATTATTCCATTTTACAAATATTTTAACAATTTATTTGGAGTTAACCAAAGCCTTGTAAAATGCCACTATTTTCTCTGCCACTACAGAAACTACCTACCGCGACTATTATAGTCACGCTGCCAGTTGGAGGGTTATGAGAGGGTTTAACATGGAGCACTTACACTGAATATTTATAAGGGTAAGTGGCTTAAACGTCTCAAATATTTATGGAGATGCCAGGGATTGAATTCCTTAGGTAGTCTAAGTCGCGCAAGAAATAAACCTGTAGATAAAGTTTCATGACAATTTTTTTTTTTTTTTTTACTGATACACTAGGTATACATTCTGTTTGCTATTAAAAACCAATTCACTGAACTATAGGTTTGTGGATTATTGGCACAACTAACTATTCATTTATTCAAAGGAAAACCTAGTAGACAACACTTTTTAGTTTTTATTTGAATGGAAATATTAATAAAAAATCTACAAGAAATGGGGTTAAAAATCTACAAGAAATATAAAAGACCTTTCAGCTGATTTGAGTGGCTAACAGCTAAGCTGTTATTATTAAGACCCTTTTGACTCACTGAAGTAACGTCTCGTTATAAATGGAGAAAATCTATTCCAACTTCACTCTGAGCTCTTCAAACAACAGTACAACTAACTATAGCCACACATATGTTTATACAACAACTGCTAAAGGCATAATTTTAACCATACCTCTCTAGAATATGTCTTGCCAAACTTTTTTACATCGGGCTCCGTTGGTAGGTCATTAAGTTGCTTGCTCAATCTTTCAATCAATTCAGGATTATTAAGTGTTTTCTTAACATTCTTAATACACTTCAGGATCACTCTTTTGGTTAAGTCATCCAATCCATAGAAAGGAATACCATTTAGCATACAATGGAGGTATCGGTACATATCCCTGCAACATTTAAACACCAAAATATCTTTATAACCTGTACACAACAGATTAAGCATACACAATTGGTAAGATAATATCATATCCCCCAAAGAAAGGGTTGGGATGTTGAAATGTCACATATTAAATGATTTCAGAGTATTCTTGAAAATAACTGCCTCTTACTATGTATATCAACCTCAACTTGTTGTATTATTGATTGTATTATGCTGTAGAGTGGCAACACTGTTAAATAAGAATAACTTTAGGGTCATGTTTTTTAATCAATCTGGATTCATGTAACCAGGGGCGTTGCCTTGGGAGGGTAGGGGGGAGCCTCCCCCCTCAGAACCTAGAAATGAGAAAAGTTGGGAATTTCCTCGCCACGAGTTGGGACGGTTGGGAAGTCGAGGAATATACAAGAAAAATATATATTTTAACGAAATAAAAAATAAATATTTGCGAAAATCCATCAAAGATTAAAATTTCTTTGACTTGAACAAATAAACTTGATGTTTCTTCAACTTGCATTTAACTTTGATTAGGCCTAAACACGTTTTATTTAAGAAATCAATAATCAATTAGTGGTAGTTTGTTGGAATTTCGATAGCAAGAAATTTTGTTCCTTGTTGGACGTATGTTGGCTACCCTGATCCTGTCCTGTGTTGATGATTCGTCTGAAAGACTGAGAGTTTGAAAGTTCAAGCGACGTAGCGCTTCAGTTGAATTATGTTGTTTGTTAGTGTTAAAAAGAAATTCAAAAATATTTTACAGGTCAGTCAAATTAACCTATATTTCATACCTTTTTTGTAGTATTTGGAGCAGGCTAACTGACAGGAGTACTTGCTAATAAGAAGATTAAAATAACATTAAAGAAAGGTTTTGTGTACCTTAAAACAGATTTTTTAATAGCCTAACTGAAATGAAATGTTAATTCTCTGAATACATTTTAAAAATCTACAAAAGTCATATTTCATTCCTAATTAAGGATTTACACAAATTAATCAACTAATCACTCTGAAACAGATCTACGTGGAAAACATAACCTAAAATTTTATGTTTGATTTTTTTGATTCCTAACACTGTGGTATTTTCCATAGGTACTACACATAATTTGTACTAGGCCTATTTTATATCCCTTAACACTGCTACATCTGCTACCACAATGACAATGGTTTTTACAGTTTATTGGATCTGAAACAATACTTATTCAAGTTTTATGGTCATAAAATTTTGTTATGAATTAATTGGTAGAAGTTATAGTTGTATTTTTAATGAAGTAATTTTAAATTAATGTTAAACTAGTTATGTTTTGTCAATAGAAGTGAATAAATACTGAATTGAGTATAACTGCAGTGTAGTATAATAATTTGTAGAGTTTTTTAATAGTACAGAAATTTTTGTCTTAAAAAAAATAGTTGGGAAATCTATACTAAGCAGTTGGCAAAATTGAGGCTTCTCCAATGTGTGGCGGATATACATTTGGAGTATTTGAATTTGAAAGGTTGCGAAACACGGTATAACATGTTTGCCTGTCTTAAAAACATAATAGAGAGGAAAAAGTGCTTTGTCTAAGCCATTCGTTAGAAGACAATTATTTGTTGTCCTTAAAGTGTAGTGAGGATAAGAAACTACAAGACCACATTGTAAAGTTTTACTCTAATTAGGGATTTTGAATCAACTATGAAGATGACAAGCTCTATGAAGTCGACAAGGTCTGCCATTTGATGCTAACCATACCTAAAAGGTTTGACTCTGTTATAACGGTTTTATAAACAACAAGCTCTAAGTTAACATTAGACTATGTTAAAAGTAAATTACTGGATGTAGAACCCAAGCTACAAAACTCAAGCCTAATTTCAGGTACAGCTAATAAAACTTTGTCAAATGATTGTATATTCAGTGTAGGTTATGGCAATCCAGACCTAGACCTAGTCCTAATTGCCTCAGGTGTGGTAGTACACCAAGGCGTATGAAAGAAGGTGTGTGCATAGTGACGTCACGTGCGAGCAAAACGTGTTTTATTTTGCCAAATCATATGTTTTCTTGTAATTTCCCAAAGACCTAAATTTTTGGTAATCCACTAAAAGTATTAACTTAAAATATTAAGTGGCTACTTTCGTTTCCCAGACATTATTTTTTGGAAATAAACCATAAAATTCAATAGGTTTTTATAAACATTTTGGAACATAGAAAGTCAATAAGTTAATGAATTACAGTCTAACCTTGATATAACGAACCTCGATATTAAGAATTCCTTGATATAACAAATTTGTTTAGATCCCCTAGAACTCTCCATAAGACAGAATGTATATTTTACCTCTACATAACGAACAAACCATAACAACGACCTTGATTTAACAAATTTTTTGTGATTTCGGCTGAAATAAGACACCTCAATATAACGAATTTATCATTGTCAGAACCTCTACATAGCGAATTTAACCTCTACTTAACGAATTGCCTACGTCTTTCCCTCGATATAACAAAACCCCCACCTTATTATTGTTATGAGAAAATCAGTTTTTTTATCAAATGAAATGGAAAGGTTACGTCATCGCTTGCGCTAATATTCGTCTGCTCCGTTTTACACGTCCTTGTCTGCTGCTGCTGTCGCTGCACGCTATGTGACATACTGATGACTGATTCGATTTCATTCTCTGAGGAGAGGACTGATGAGTGATGACGACGCAATCAATCAATTGTATTTTCAATACAATTTATTTCAACTAGCAACACCAATCCTTTAGTTGATGATTGTTAATATTGAGATTCCTCTGTTGTGATAAATCAGTACTCTACTGTAAGTAGCCTACCGGCCTATCACGAGCAGTAGCTTACAAATCTCTCTACTGTTTTGTTTTGTTTTTTACGTGGTTTATGACTGTACAATAGTGTTTGGCTAGGTTTTAGGAGGGTTAGATTAAGCTGTGATTTTCAACTTACAGTTTGTAACCTGTACCAAGGTCAATGACTAGAAATGTCATGATTGTGCAATATTAAAGATCCCTCCCCTTTATTACCCCAGATAATTGTGGTTCTACTTTACAATGTAAACACTTTACTGTAAAGTATTGTAGCCTATGCTACTTTAATTGTGTTTTAATGAGGTCAATCCCGACCTATATTGACTGACGCTGGTTCTGAACCTCGACTAAGCGAAATTCCTGCAAACCTAACCTCAATATAACGAACCTCATTTTAACAAAATCCTTGATATAACGAATATTGGAATATTCAGTTCGGTCCCTTCAGATTTGTTATACCAAGGTTGGACTGTAATTACGCACTTAAAACCTTATTCACACACACTATCAAAAATTATTTATTAAATTTAAAACATAAACAATCCTACTTTGACAGTTCTAATTTTGTCTCACAGCTGCTTGGTTGAAATTAGCAACTGTTGTCATTAATTTAGAAAATTAATAGTGCTGTACCCTTTTGGTACATTTTGTAACCTTTTAATGCTAGTGATCATCACTGAATCAAATTGTTTAGTTGAAACAGCTGTTAAGATTATTTTATTCCATTTAAATATCAGTACTCATAAGGTTCAGAGATATAGAAGCTAAACTAAATGACCTAAGAGTAGAAGCACAGCAAGTGGGCCTGAAAATAAATGCCAGAAAAACCAAGGAAATGAGGTTAAATAACCGGAACAACACTCCCCTCAGAACAGGAGAGGATGATATTGAGCGGGCCAATGAATTTTGTTATTTGGGCAGTATGGTGACTGAAGGAGGAGGTGCCGATTGGGACATGGAAAACCGCTTGAATAAAGCAAGAGCTGCATTTGCCCAGCTGAGGCCAGTTTGGAGAAGCTCTGAAATAAGAATAAAAACTTAACTCAGGATCTTTAACTCAAACGTTAAGTCTGTCCTCCTTTTTGGCTGTGAGACATGGAAGGTGACAAACACGAGCACACGCAAACTGCAGACTTGGGTTAATAAATGTTTACGAACCATTCTCAGGGTGTGGTGGCCTGAAGTCATCTCTAATGAAGATTTGTGGGCCAGAACCAACCAGGAGCATATTGCTATTCAAATAAATAGGAGAAAATGGAGATGGATTGGGCATATTCTTCGGCAACCACAAGATACAGTAGCGAGACAAGCCCTGGAATGGAACCCACAGGGAAATAGAAGAAGAGGGAGACCGAGAACCACGTGGAGGCGGACTGTGGAGAAGGAGTTAAATAGTCAGGGCATGACATGGGCTAGGGCAAAAGAGCTGGCCAACCAAAGGGACCGCTGGAGAGTGTTTGTCGAGGCCCTATGCTCCCCCTAGGAGCGCAAGGAAATAAGTCAAAAGACTCATAAGGTTGCATGGGAAACTCCAGAGCCACTGGGGCAGAGCCCTTTTGACGGATCTGCACCCAAACCATCCTTGAATAATGCTTAATAATACCTGAAAGTTTCATTACAATCTGTCAAGCGGTTTTGGAGTCCATAACGTTAAAATATATATATATATATATATACACAAACTTCCTCTTTTATAAATATAGATATAGTGTTGTATTCAGTATTGAATATACTGAAGTAGTGTTGTATAGTATCTTTTACTATTAATACAACAACTAGACATTCCATCCCCATGTTAAAGTTGTAGCCAGGTTTTTAATAAAATTTGTCTTAGTTGATGTAAGCCACCTACAGATTGCGCTGATCTAAATTACTGATTTCTGCCGATTACATGATGGTTTTTACCAAGTCAAACTGATGGAATGACTTATTATGAGCTATAGCAACTGTTGTGACCCAGCAACTATGTCAGTAACGAAAAATAAGGTACAAAATAGAGTTTTAGACACTAGCGCAATCTGTGACTGGCTCACACAACTACATTCTTTTTCAGTAAAAAATTTGCGACAGCTGATCCATATAGATGGGATGTCTTCTTCTGTATCCAATAGTCAATGATAGTATATTCAATGGTGGTAGTATATAACATTTTGATAGTGAATACCTTTTAATCGAAAAATAGTGACTAACTGTGGCTGCCTAACAGGCAATATATTT